CGTCGCCTTTTTGGACGAAGTGATTCTCCGCAGAGACACTAACTTTAATGTCTATCAAACTTTTATGGTTCCATCTCTCGAATTATCTTTAATTGACTTCACCGCCCACATAAATATTATCTCAACTGTAATAAACGTTAATGTCTTTATTTTCAGGCGGGCGGCGGCTCTAAATCACCGCAAAGTGTCCGAGGCGACCTTTCTCCACCTTTTGTTCACAACGCCGCTCACAAACCGGCGCTGACCACGCCCCCCTGAGCTCTGTGTGTGTGTGTGTGTGCTCTCCACTGGTTGCTAATGTGTGTGTGTGTGTGGGGGGGGTGTTTATCCTAGAGGTTAAACGGCGGATGATAGGGGTCGCGACCTTTCAGCACGTGTTGAGCGTTCCTGTGATAGTGACACCCTCCGTGAGCTCGTAAATCAGCGAGAGGAAAGGGGCTGGGTGACCTTTGACCCCGGACTTGTTCCTGAGGACACACACTCGACGCACACACCAGACACTCGCAGCGACTGCTCAGACGTATGAATGGAGGGTTGTTGCCTCTGTGCGTCTTCATGGCTGACTGCAGCGAGCGAGAAAGCGCCACCTGTTCGGCGCTCAGCGGCTCCTTCCTGTTCAGCTGTTCGCCCAACTTCCAGCTGAACAAGTGCACAACGGATTTCCCTCAAGCGAGTCACTCGTAGGTCAATCTGCAGCAAAACTGTCTGACAAGCGGTCGTACGGGTTTTAACTGTCCACAATGCAACGTGTGATGCGGCAGCTAAGAACCGTTGCCATTTTGATCAATTATTGAATCACTTAATCTATAAAAAGTGCAAAAAAGAAACACACACTTCAAGGTAGGATGTCGCGACACCACAAATTTAGTAGTTGATACCAATACAGTGAAATTTCACGATTCTCAACACTCGAAAAAACAAAAACAAAACAATAAATCCCTAATAAGTCCTTCAGCAGACACTATTAAAACATTATCTAACATTACTAAGAGCAGCTGTGGGGGTTACTGTCCAGGACAGATGTCAGTATATTCATAAATGAGCATGTTATTGAAATTACAACCTTGAAAAGTGCCTCATAAATTAATTTTCTTTACAAACTCAACAGGTGTGAAATATTTAAGCGTGGTCACTTTCTATGTCGGCGGTGGTTTGAGATTCCATGTTGAAAAACAAAACAGTTATTGATGACTGAAATGGATCATCTGTCACTTTTCAGACGGTCCCCAGCTCCTCCGACAGTTTCAGGTGTGTTGGACAGGGATTCAGGCCCCGTCTACACGAGACCGTGACTTTTTCTACGCGGTTTGGCCATTCGTGCACACGGAAACGCAGGATCAGGTCACTGAAACCGAACATTTTTGAAAACTCCTGTCAGGGTGAGGATTTTAAGAAACGAGTTTTTGCCTCGTGCGCCACTGCCTGCTTTGTTTACGATTTTATTAGACTCTAATTGGCCAACATGGCTTTACGGTTAGGGTCGTATCGCCGCCTGGTGGTTTGGCGTGCTATTGGCAGCGCTTGATAGCGTGTTTTTGCGTTTTCATGTCATGACAGAGATTTATTTTTAAACGAAGGAGGAAAAACTACCCGTGTACGTGCGGACTAGGCCCCAGTTCTTGGTGCTGCGAACTGCATCGTCATCTTTGGTGATTTTAAATTGATGCAAAATGCGAAACGTCTGAGCCTGAATCAGCTCGCTTTAACGTGAAAATGTTCACTTTGAAACCAAAACAAGGCCAAGTTCAGGCGTGCGAACTGGTCAGGAGAAAAAAAAAGGAATTTCACGCATTAAACATTTAATTTCCTGCATTTTGGTGAAATTTATAAATATAAAAATATAAGAGAACGGAAAAAGTTGTTAAAGTTGCTGACTGGTGTGTGCACGTTTTGGGGTCATTTTATATAATTAGTAGCTTGATTTTTTAAATAGTTAATAAATAAATAAGTGCAAATGAACTTTTCTCAAAGCATTTTCATTTGTTATTTAACATTTCTGGTTGCAGGTGAACAACACAGATGCAGACGTGTTTTTTCAGCAGTAACGTGTTCAGCTGTCAGACTGCGCCCTACTCTGCCTCTGATTGGCTGTCAGGTTTAGCCATTAGGAGGGTCAAGCATATGCAGCTGTGAATTTGCTAAGCTCATGCTAGAGAGCCCTCGGTAGATATAACCAACCGACGATGTCCACAAAACAAACTTTTCCTGAGCAGTATGAATAAAAAAATCTGTCATAGCGTGAAAAATTCTACACATCCTGTCTTCTTGTCCGTCATCTTTCCCTGACATTAACCACGACCTGCGAGAGCCTAAACACAACTTCAAAGACATTATTCACGCTTTAGTTTTGGGACATTGTGCGAAAGCTAATGAGATTTGTTGACAGTTAATGTGCAGATTCGTTCAGTGTCAACATTCTGCGACTTTGCAGATACGTCCTCTAAAAAAGTTTTCCTCTCAAGTCTGAGACGAGAGCAGCAGGGAAGTAAAGTAAAACAACAACAGCGATGTCTTAGGAGGGACACATCGTCACATCCAGCCAGCTCTGCTTCCCGACAGGAGAGACAGCAGGCAGAGTAACAAACCTGAACCTACTTGTTCACTCTTTAAAAATGAAAGTGAACATAAACTTAATAGAAAGTTTAAATGGACTTCAGGTTTCACGTCTTTGAGGTTTGAACCTCCTGGCGAGCTGCTGCTGAGCGCTCAGAGGATTCAATAATAAAATGGTTGGTGGTGCGCTGTGGTTTCTACTGGCAACGCTGTTGGTCTTTATCCCCCACACTCCTCCTCCACCCCCCGACCCTGAGTCAGTGGTACGGGGATGAATTTAATTACCGACTCGGGCTGCCCTGACAGACCCCGCCTCCGGGCCCAGCTAGCCCTGAGGTCGGTCTGCCTTCACGAGGCTTTTAATCAACGCCGCCGCTCCAGAAAAGCTCCGCTGCCTTAAATAAGAGGCAGGATGAAACCTGATCCTCCTGCGCCGAGACCGGGGGGGGGGGAAGGCGAGGAGGAGGAGGAGGAGGAGGAGGAGAGGGGGGGGGGGGCTGTTCTCCCTCTCATCTCATTCAAAAGAAGCAACACGCTGCCAACTCCTCAAAACTCTTCAGGATCTGGGTGGGAAAAGTTGTTCAAATGTAAAAACCTACTTTTAGCAAAAAACACATGCATATTGTGAAGACTTCACCACAAATGATCCCCCCTCTGAGTCTGAGTTTATTCAAACCGAAACCTCTGCAAGGGTCAGAGCTTCTCCAACTCAACCAACAAAATAAAACCACAAACCAGCGGCTGCAGCAGCGTCGGAGGCGTTTCGGCCTCCCAACGCTGGACTGAAGGGAGCTCAGTGTGAACCTGTACACAGCTGACAGACCGAGGAGGAGGAGGAGGAGGACGGGAGCTCAGAGAGGCTTTAGTCTGTGAGAGGAAATGATTGTAATTAAGCTTCAGGGATGGAGATCTTTTGAGTGTTTGTGTCTGCTGACGGCTCGCAGCTGAAACTTTCCCTCCACAGAAAAACACGACCAGAACTAAAAACTCCAAAATGTTCTTCTGAAAACAAACGACATCGTGTGTTTTTAAATTTGTCTTATCTCAATAACTTCTCTATGTATCTGAACCCTAAAAGTAAATATTCAACTTGTTGCCGGCAGAAATAAAACTTTATTTTAAAGTGCTGTCTGTCTCCTGAAACAAGAGAGGACAATTGTGGCATTTAGAATCAGCTCTGGAGCTTTCAGTCACATCCCATGATCTTCCTCAGCAGATTCTTAATTTCTCCATGTTGGTTTAAAAAGTCAACTTCTGCACCTGCTGATGATCATGTGAGACAACTGAAAGGTGGTAAAACAGCTACTGAACGGACCTCGAGGTCGAGAATGAACTTTGAATTAGAGAATCCTTTAAAGTATTGGATTTACATTGGAAACAGGTTGGAATACTTTTAACTTGCTGTGAGGAAATGAGACTTTAGGGACTCAATTACGGTCCAAAACCATTAGAATTACATATTTAAGTATCGGTTATGGAAATCAACCCCGGCCGGCTGGTGAAGGACTCCGAAAGTTGACCTTAAAACATAATTTTTACCCGACTAAGTCAAGAAAACTCCAACAAACTTTGACTGAGCTCCGTGCCAAGTATTTAAAGCATGTGCCAAACATCTACATGCCTCTGCCACCGCTCGCTGCTGCACGCACAAATATTCCAACCAGCCAAATTATTTTCCCGTGGAATCAGACGGAAATCGGGAAACGTGCTGAGCAATCGCCCCGGAGATAATTGTGGTTTTTTTTCCCCCTCACCACGTCCTGAAAGGTGTGCCAGCTTCACCCAAACACCCCGACCTGCTCTGCTCGCAGGGAGGGGGCAGCCGGCGTGAGGAGCTTTTGGCAGAGACGTTTCTTTTCCTTCCTCAGACTTCTGCTTTACTGACCGCTGATGAAACTCCTGCCTGTCTGCAGCAGATAACACAGTTTGTGTCAGAGACAGAGAGCGGCTTTGCTGCGAGGCGAAGGCGGATTTTCATCCTCAAACTAACAGATAAACAAACCGCGTCGAACGTGAAGTTTCATCAACTGCGTGGCAACGTGAAAAAGTTCACCGGTGAGTTTTAATGTGACATTTAAATCCCTCAAAGAATACAAACCCAGGACCGAGTCAACTCCGGGACAGCCCCAACAGAAACACTGATCCAGAGTTACTACAGAAACTCAAACGATCGGCTTTACAATAACCTTCACTAACAATCTATTTATTAGGAACGGCTACAAAAGCTTCACCTGCAAAGTCAAGAACAGAAAACTGACACGGAGCCAGAGGCCGAAACACCTGCAGGACACGTTTCAGTTTCCAGAAACAAACTTCAGCCGTCGGCGTGACGTTCACCAGACGAGCTCGTCACGTTTGCAGTCGACGTCGTTCACCTTTTGTTCCTCACATGCTCAGCCTCACGTCACACACTCACGCACACAGAAAGAAAAGACTCTGGGACTGACCTGCGTGCACGAAGTAGGCCAGGTACAGATCCAGCTCCTTGACTGAAACTCCAATGTGGTGCGGCTGCACACACAGGGTGGGGTTCGAACACTGAGGAGACTTTACCAGCCTCTCCCCGTCAGTACTTTCGAGGGGAATCCCTTTGAATAAAATCACCATGACCAGGTCCAGCCTCCAGACTTTGTCCGCCTGGCGCAGGCAGTCGATCCTCCTCATCTTGCCCTTCTGGTCGGGGTTGGACAGCACGCAGCACGGCGCCTTCTTCCCCGTCACCGTCAGCACGAAGTCCTCCCTGAACTCGGGCCGGATGTCCTTGCGCAGTTTGGCCAGGAGGCGCGACGCCCACTTCTGTTTGACCTCGGGCTTCTCGCCGAGCAGCTCGTCCTTCACGGCGCGCTCCTCCTCCTTGGACATGCGCTTCTCGTGCTTCTTGAAGTACTTCCTCTTGCGGGCCTGCAGGTTGAACCATGTGTAGGCGAAGGCCCGGACGTGGGGCAGCAGGGCTTCGATGAAAGGATGGAATTCATCCTGAGGGACGGAAGAGGAGGAGAGACACGGTGAGAAGGTGAGGGACCAACAATGCAACAATTCAGAAAACGTATGTGTGACACTAGCGTGTACATATACACATATAAAGTTAGTCATGTTGTTCCATCTCTTCACTGAAGCTGCACGATGTTCACACTGAAGAATATTTAAACCCACACATTGACATGTTTGGAAATGTTGGGATCTCCACTACATTTTAAAATACTATAATGAGTGCTGCGTAGGGTTGAAGAGGTTGAGCACTCTTAAAACTTGTTTTCTTGCCAGTTTCAAGATTTCAACCCATTTTCATCTTAGTTTTTCCAAAAATGGCGGAGCAAATATTTCTGCAGTGCAGAAGAACGGCTGGAGAATTCCCAAAACGATCAGTGGAAGGAGGACAGGAAGGAGAGAAGGAAAGATTTTAAAAGAAGCAGGGCAAGTTGTAAGTACAGAAGAAGTAGAAAAGAAAAGGAAAGAAGGAAAGAAAGAAAGAAAGAAAGAAAGAAAGAATGTAGCAAGTACACAAGGAAGCAGAAGAAGAAGAAAACAAAGAAGGAGAGAAAGAAAGTATTGAAGAGAAGGAACGGAGGGCAAAAGTAGTAAAGGAGGACAGAAAGCACGGAGACCAGAAGGGGAACAAACAATAAAAGACAGAAAGAAGGAAACAAAGAAAACAAGGAAAGAAAGGAGGACAGAAGGAGGACGCAGAACACAAACTGTTCATTTCTTGCTGGCTGACCGCAGAGCGAGTCCTCGTTCTCACATTTAAAGTAAAAGCAGATAAAAAGTGTTTGTCTCTCTCCACACAGACTCCTCAGCGTCAGTTCAGCCTGTCTCGCCTCTTTCTTGGCTCTCGGGCAGGAATGCGGGGTCTGTGGGGGTTCTGCCAGCCCCGAACAAAAAAACCACACCAGGCAACCGAGCGAGTGAAAACCCAGATCGCACCATGCGGAGGATTAAAGGTGTATTAAAGGTGCATTATGTGGCTTTGGGCTGATGATAGCGGCGCTGTTATTAGGGTGGGAATGTGGTTAGACGGCATGTCGTGGATTAGACCCACTTTGGGGTTAGTTACACCTGCTCCCCCCTCCTCCTCCTCCCAAGCCCAAAAAAGCACCACAAAACCAGCCTTATCCGGGCCGGCCTGAGCGAGTAGATGAACACATTCGACTGGAAGGAAAAAAAAAGGCTCTTTACTGCTCGATGTCACGGCACACAAACAAGATGCAGATTACGCTTCAGTCAGGAGATGAAAAGCACAAATCTTCATTAACTCAGAGGTTTTAACGTCATATTATTAGGAGAAACTCGCCGAGCTGAACTCTGATCACAGCTGAAACTGTTCAGCCTCAGATTCAGATTCAAAAACAAGCAAAGCGTTCAGTCAGCGTGCCGAGATAATTAGATTTTAATGTATTGTTCTCCAGTTTCTCCTCCAATTTTCTAGAAATGAGAGGAACCGTTCTTGCAACAGGTCGCAGCACTACGATTGGGAAGAAGCTAGAAAGAAGCTTGAACTGGGGAACGAGCTCCAGAGCTGGGTGCAGAGAGGACGCAGGTTTCACCTCCCTTTGAGAAATATACTGAATTTAATGTTCCCACAAACCTCTTTTCATTCCAAATGTTATGTTGTTTAAATACAAGCAGAGTCCAAAGCTGGTGAGATTCAGGAACTCTCTGATCAAAGAAGAAGCCAACAAGATTATGAACCCGAGCCGACGTTTCATTGGAAAGTTTTGGGACTTGACAATCAAGCAAAGTATTAAATAACTGCATCATACCAGAGTTCATGCATATTTAAGCTAATTTACTGAAAGACATTTACTGGTTTTAATTTATTTCACTTGGATATATCAGTGAAATTTATCTCTGCTTTCCTTTTTCTGCCAGGTTTTTATTTTCCATCTAAGTGTTTGTATTTGCAGCTTCATCACCACACACAAAAAAATACAGGTGTGACGAGTTAAAGACGAGTTTCAGGTCTGAGATTTAGAAATAAATGGAAACAAACAGCCGCCTGGATACAAAAAAAACAAGTCTAGATGAATGTGCCTTTAATAATTTGGGATTTGCAGTAAAACTGAGATGAGGTGAGGCCGCGTGAATATGTTTTTGTTTTCAGGGTTTGGACGGTCGTCCGTGGCGACGCTCAGATCAAACCTGTCATTTCAGTCCGTCTAAACACGGGCAGAAAAGGCATTCAGCTCAGACTGAAAACATCTTCATGGAACATTTCTTATTTGGATAAAACCCCTCAGAGGGTTACTGCGCAGGACGGGATGGAGGCGAGGGGGAGGGAGGCTGGAGGCCCCCACCCTCCTCCTCCTGAGCCACGTATTGAGAAAAAAAACCCACTCGTCTATTCATAGATCAAAGAGGCTCACACACATCTTGATACGTGCAAATGCCTCCGACTGGGGTGGCATGTGGACACTATATCATGAACTACACACAAACACACACACTCTGCACACATGTACGCACGCAGTCACATCTGAGTCCTGAAAGTTGAACATTTAAAGACACTGATATCTAGAAAAGATTGGGATTTGTTTGGTTTTTTTGCAGCGTGCATGGACACAGAAGCCTACACTGCAAAAAATCACCCTCTTATCAAATTCTTTCTGTATCCATGAGTCCCAAAAACCTTCCTTCTTCAGACGGGTGAAAAGAAAAATGCAGCACAGGGAGAAAACTGAGCTGCTTCAACAGTTTGAAAAGAACTTGTTTTGCTTTTGAAGTATTATCTCTGCTCTCACAAATGTTTTTTTCGTCCTAAAAACCTCGTTTTATTTTATTTCGATCTCTTTCCAACAGAAATCTTTTTGTTTTAACTGCTTCTTCAAACAATTGTCAGCTGGTCGCTGCACAAGAATCAAGAAAGGCAAAAGTTGGTTCAAGAAAACGAGCCGATTTGTTGAGATATTCTTCACAGAACAGCCAAAACTTTGACGCGGTTCCAACACAAATCAAACGTTTCTAGAATCATTTTTCTTGAGTCCAGTGCAGCGATTCATCTCTTTGTGTCGGTTTTTCATGATTATTTTTATTCTGGTGAATCCATCTGCTTAGTTTTTTCCATGGCAGAAGATTCTCTCAAAAAGGCAAAATGTTATTTTGTTTTGAGGAACTGAAGCAGCTTTTTAAAATGTTTACAGGATGCAAACTGCAGAAAATCTCCAACTAAAGCTAGCAAGCTGCTAAAATGTAAAATATATTAGGCTTGAAGGACTCGATACAAACGAAAATGACTTTTTAAGAAGGAGACGACCGCATTATAAGTTAAATCTGAAGGTTTGGAGTTAATGGATAAGGAGGGTGGTGCACATTTTCCTTTCTGTCGGTCCGTCTCTCAGTTCTGTCTGACTTCCTCTCTGCCCATTGGTTCCTGCAGGACGGTGTGTGTGGGACTGAGTCAGAATAAACTACAGTGTGTGTTTGTCACCCGCTGCAGCTGTGACACATTTAGATGATCTTAGTTTTTAAAGCTTCTGGGTTCATATTTTAAAAAGTCTCTCAGATGAAACCTGCAGCTCGGAGCTCTCACACTGAAGAGGAAACTCTATCTACAGGCTGTGCATTAGAGCGCCAGCTGCGTTGCTTTTTTTTTTAATATAACATTGTTCACCCTCCCTTGTCAAGAGGTCTGAATACAGCACATTGTTTCTTCTTGGAGACGGTCCAGGAGAGCGGGTTTGTCTCCAAAAGCGCCTCCAGCCGCTCTGCAGCCAACCTGCAGCCGCTTCCCGAGCTCTGAAATCTCTCTGCAGGACGGCCGGGAACGCCGCCTTTTGTTATTTGTGGTTTCTGCTCGCAGTGAGATGTGTTTCTGTTTGTGTGTGAGTCCTCGGGCAGTTATTAGGACGGCGAGCGGCTGCTGCTGGACGGATGATGTGTTCAGCCTCGTCTCTGCACACACACACACACACACACACATTCCACAGTGGATCTGCAGCTCGGCAGCTCTGGATGTTCGTTGGAGCCACATACCAACATTCCTCACAGCCCAGTGCAGCGTTTCAGCTTCCTGACCCGCTCACACCATCCTCCTCCGCCGCCGCTTCCTCCGCCGCTCTTTCACACTCTGTCTGTCGGCCGCACACACAATCCCACTTAACAAGTCGCTTGGTCTCTCATTCAGCCTTAAAACCGTGCTTTTCTGCCGGCGGGGTGAGATAATCCCTCTTGTTTTCAGCTTCCCCTCGGAATGTTTTCTGAAATGTGTCTTGAAATAAAAATAATCCTGTTTCTGCATCTGTGTCAAGAAAATGATTCCAGAAAACTGTGGAAACATGGAGTTATTTCAAACGAAGGAAAAAATACAACATTTTAGCAGCTTCGCTGACTTTAGTTGGAGATTTTCTGCAGTTTGCATCCTGCAAACATTTTAAAAAGCTGCTTCAGTTCCTCAAAACTAAAGAAAATTCTGCCTTTTTGGTCAGAGAATCTTCTGAGGGTTCAAGAAAACAAAGCAGATAGTTTCACCAGAATAAAAATCATCTTTAATATATGCTGATTTATACTGGAAATGTGAAATAATCTCAACCTAACGGCTGTTTCTGCCGCCTCCTTGGTAAAATAAAACATTTTAGGAAGAATTTGTTTTGTTCACAACAATATCTGTCTACACAAAATCATTTTGCCTTCTGACCTCTAACCCTCTCAAAATGAGATCATATTCACTCTTTCTGGTTGAATAATCAAACTAGTTCTGCATTTTGTTTCAGGAATTTTCTGTAAATCTGTGCCTGGATCTTCAAATAAGAGAACGAAGCAGATCTCTGCAGTAAAAATCAGCAAAACGACCCATTTATAGATTTATTTGTGCTGGAAACACTAAATTATCTCAGCCCACAGGCGTTTGTTTTTTGGCTTCTTATGTTTCAGATATTTCAGCTTCTGTTACCCAAAATACTCCGTTCTTCTCCGTGTGTCCAGTTTAGCTCAAGTCCCTTCTTTTCACATCTGGCCTTAAAACCGTGTTTCTGTTTTTTCCT